CTTATTTCACTTAGCGTAATAATCTCCAGGTTCCTCAGTGCTGTCACAAAAAGTAAGAGTTCCTTCTTTCTTATGGCCATGTAGCATGGCCATGTAAATGTACCACCATTGTTTTTTTTTAATCCACTCATCTATTGATGGGCATTTGGGCTGTTTCCAGATCTGGCGATTGTAAATAACACTGCTATGACCATAGGGATGCATATATCTTTCAAATTATTGTTTTGGGCTTCTTCATATATATTCCCAGAATTGGAATAGCTTGGTCATAAGGCAGCTCCATTTTTAATTTTTTGAGGTAGTTCCATACTGCTTTTCATAGTGGCTGCGCCAGTCTGCATTCCCTCCAACAGTGCGGGAGGGTTCCCTTTTCTCCACATCCTCTCTAACATTTGTTGTTTGTTGATTTATTGATGGTAGCCATTCTGGCAGGTGTGAGGTGATATCTCATTGTGGTTTGAATTTGCATCTCTCTGATGATTAGTGACATTGAGCCTTTTATCACATGTCTATAGACCATCTGTATGTCTATTCAGATCCTTTGCCCATTTTTTATTTGAATTGTTAGTTTTTTGGGTGTTGAGTTTTCTAAGTTCTTTATAATTTTGGAAATTAACCCCTATCAAATGTATCATTGTCGAATATATTCTATCATACAGTGGGTTCCCTATTCATTTTGTTGAGGGTTTCTTTTGCTACGCAGAAGCATTTTAGTTTGATGTAATCCCATTTGCTTATTTTTCCCTTTATTTCCCTTACCCTAGGAGACATATCAGCAAAAATATTTCTATGAGAAATGTCTAAGATTTTACTGCCCATGTTTTCTTCTAGAATTTTTATGGTTTCACAACTTACATTTAAGTCTTTTATCTATTTTGAGTTCATTCTTGTGTATGGTGTAAGTTGGAGGTCTAGTTTCAATTTTTGCATGTTTCCCCAATTTATAAATGCCAACACCACTTATTGAATAGATTGTCTTTACCCCCTTGTATGTTCTTGCCTCTTTTGTCAAATAATTTACCATAGAGGCATGAGTTGATTTTGGGGCTCTCTGTTCTGTTTCATTGATCTACATGCTTGTTCCTTTGCCAGTACCAGGCTGTTTTGATTCCATTGGATTTGTAGTATAGTTTGATATCAGGTATTGTGATACCTCCAACTCTGTTTTTCTTTCTCAAGATTGATGAAGCGATTCAGGGTCTTTTTTGGTTCTATATGAATATTTGGAGTATTTGTTCTAGATTTGTGAAATATACCATTGGTATTTTAATAGGTATTACATTGAATCTACAGATTGTTTGGGGTAGTATGAACATTTTAATGATATAAATTCTTCCAATCCATGAACATGGTACATATGCTTCCAATTATTTTTATCTTCCTCAATATCTTTCTTCAATGTCCTGTAGTTTTCTAAGTAAAAAATTTTGTTAAATTCATTCTAGGTACCTTATTTTTTTCTTGTTGCAATAGTAAATGGGATTGTTTTCTTAGTTTCTCTTTCTGATAGTTCATTATTTGTGTATGGAAATGCCACCAATTTCTGAATATTAATTTTGTTTGCTATAGTCAAGATACTGAATTCATTTTATTAGCTCTAGTAGCTTTTTGGTGGAGTCTTTGTGATTTTCTATGTACAATACCATGTCATCTGTGAATAATGAAAGCTTTACTTCCTCCTTTCCTATTTGGATGCTCTTTATTTTTTCTTTTTGTCTGATTGTTGTGGCTAGGACTTCCAGTATGATGTTGAAGAATAGTGGTAAAAACAGATATCCCTGTCTTATTTCTGATTTTAAGGGAAAAGCTTTTATTTTTGCTCATTGAGTAAGGTGTTGGTTGTGGGTTTGACATATATGGTCTTTATTACACCGAAGTATGTTACCTCTATTCCCACTTTGCTGAGAGATTTTATCATAAATGGATGCTGGATTTTATCAAATGCTTTTTCTGCATCTATTGATATGATCATGTGGTTTTTACCCTTCATTTTGTTTCTGTGGTATATCACGTTTATTGATTTGCAAATGTTGGACCAACTGTGCATCCCTAGAATAAATCTCACTTCATCATAATGTAATACCTTTATGATGTATTGCTGGGTCTGGTTTGCTAATATTGGTTGAGGATTTTAGCACCAATGTTCATCAGGGATATTGGCCTATAATTTTCTTTCTTTGTAGTGTCTCTATCTGGTTTTGGAATTGGGATTAGGCTGGCCTTATAAAATGTGCTTGGGTGTTTTCCCTCCTCTTAAATTTTTTTGAATAGTTTGAGAAGTATAGGTGTTATTTCTTCTTCAAATGTTTGGTAAAATTCACCCATGAAGCCATTTGATCCAGGATTTTTATTTGTTGGGAGGTTTTTGATTACTACTTCAATATCACTAGTTGTAATCTGTCTATTAAGATTCTCTGATTCTTCCTAATTCAATTTTGGTAGATCATGTGTTTCTAGTAATTTATGCTTTTTTCCCCAGATATTCCAATTTGTTGGCATATAGTTTTTAGTAAGATTTTCTTTCAATTCTTTGTATTTCTTTGGTATCAATTGTCACTTCTCTTTCATTTCTGATTTTATTTATTTGGATCCTCTCTCTTTTCTTCTTGATGAGTCTGGTTAAAGGTTTGTCAATCTTGTTTATATTTTCTTTCTTTCTTTTTTTTGTGGGGGGGGGGGGGAAAAGGGTTTTTTTTCTGACCACCTTCGGAGGCTGCAGCATTGTGAGTTTTAAGTACTTTACCATTGAAACTCTTAAAACAAACTGTCAAAATTAAGCACCGCCAGGCTCAGGATCCATGTTGAATAGCCAAAGGAGCAAAGGTCCAGGTTCAGGCTACACGGCGCCAACCTCATGGCCTTCCAGCTGAAGGCACATGTGGACCTCACTACTTTCCTAGCTGAGCGGGGCATGGGAGCAGGATTTGGAGAGGCCACCGTGAAGGGCTAAGGAGACCCAGAATCTGGTGTCAGAGGACCGAGGCCAGGGCTAGAGTAGCAGGAACTGGCCCAGCTGGCTCTCCTGAGGGAGGGGCCAGTGTGGACTGGGGGGAGGGGGCTTAAGGCCTGCTCTTGGCAGCACTAGGTGCTTAGTTGGCAAAGCAACCAGAAGTCAGCCCTGGGCTCTGCTTCCTGTGCGGGGGTGCCCTGGGATGCGATTTCTCCATCAGTCAGGGAGTGGGGCAGCAAAGCAGGGCGGCTGTGGCCGTGGTATTTTGGGTGGTTTCTGGTCCTAACCCACACACAGAAGAGGCTATGGAGTTCCTCACCCAGCTCCTGCGCTCACACCTGAGCTCTGCTTCTGCAACTGCTGCTGCCCCCCAACCATGCCTCACCCTCTGTGCCACAGGAGAAACCTAACATGTTTGGTCAGCCTCGGAGGTCTGGCACAGGCAATCCCTCTCCCCGACCTAGGGAGCAGGGCTCAGTGGGTACCTCAGCCGGACATGGCTGTGAAAGGGGAAGGTTGCCCGCTGACAGGTGACGTGGGCAGAACCAAGGCAGGAGGGGAGTCCCTGAGGGCTGGTGGGAAACCGTGGCTACTCCCAGGTCCTCATTCAAGCTTTGGGGCTGCCTGTTTCCCCTGGCCTGACCTCCAACTGGTTTTGTATTTTGTCTGCCCAAGGGGCTTAGCATTAACCCCTCCCTTGTGGTTTGGGGACTGTTAGTACTATGTGCTCCTGTGGCTGTGGCTGTAATTTGGGGTGTATTGGCTCCTGCTCTGTCCCCTTCAGGCTGGTGTCCTCATGTAGAGGGGGGCTGTCTACAATCTCACCTTGTTACAGACTCGGGGGGGGGGGGGCGGGGGGGGGAC